AAAAAAAAAAAAAAAAAAAAAAAAAAGACTTTTCCCAAGACTTGCTAGTTGCACCATCTACACCCAAAGCCTGAGGCAGCGGGAAACAAACTCTGGTTTCCATGAGCTAAATTTGCGGTAGGCTATGCTGCCCCCTAGTGGTTCGGATGCCACCAACTCTTTTCTTCTCTGAAATGCTAACTTACCACCACAGCAGAGCCCCCTTTCAAGCGTTCGCTGGAGAGCTTCTGGGTTAGAGTCATGGCAATTCCAGCACATGACACAAACATTTCACAAAGGAGGAAACTAGCTGAAGTTTCCTGGAGGTGTTATACCAAACAACAGCCTTTGCTTCCTCAGGAGCAGAAAAATGAGACATAATATTTTAACAACACTCACTATAAATAGCTAGACTTGAACATACTACTGATGACAGGATAAATTTAAATCTCATCATAGAGCTCACAGCACAACTGTTACCAATTAGAGACTTACATGAATTAACGAGAAGCAGAAGAACGTAATTTTGTTTTTCTGTCTGAAGGGCCCACTTTGTATCTGGATTCAGGACACTATGGTCTCACACTTGTGGTCTCACTTGGGGGCTACCTCTGCTCGCTTAGGAATGGGCCAAGATCTCCCCTCTCAGACCTCCTCTCCCTAATGTGTATATTTATGGAGGCTTTTCTCTGGACCACAGAGAAAAGGGCAAGCCATCAGTCTGCAAATACACCAACAGGTTCTCAAATCCTACCTGCATGGAATCACATCTAGTTTAAGCTGTTATGTATTAAGAGCAAAGGTAAGAAACTGGGGCTCTAGCCCAGCCGGTGTGACTCAGCGGTAGAGCATCAACCCATGAACCAAGAAGTCCCGGATTTGATTCCCAGTCAGGGCATGTGCCTGGGTTTTGGGCTTGATCCGCAGTAGGGGGCATGCAGGAGGCAGCTGATCTATGTTTCTCTCTCATCAATGTGATGATTCTCTCTCTCTCCTTAAAATAAAAAAAGTAAAATAAAAAAAAACATATTAAACCACTGAGATTTTCACAGTGATTAAAAAAAGAAAAGAAACTCAGGTTCTATTTCCAGCTCTGCCTCTTACTAATTGTAGCCTTGGCTAAGCTATTTAACCTAGTTTAAATTTAAGTCTTGGTTACCCTTATCTAAAATGAGTTGTCAAAACTAAAATGATACATAAATGTTGAGTAATATCAATTTCTCACATACCCGTGTATCTGACCAGAGTTCGTCCTGTTGATATTTCCCAAAGTTTAGCTACAGAGTCTTTTCCACTTGAAAGAATGTATTTAGAATTTTTGGAAAAAATGGCAGAACAAACTTCAGCGCCGTCGTGTGCTTTCTCAAAAGTTGTGATGCATCGGTTCGAGACACCATCCCACAACTTTATGCAGCCATCCTTGCTACCAGTCACATACATGTTGGCACTAGGGTTGTAATTAACGGAACATATGGCATCGGTGTGTTGATCTTGAGGATTGCAAGACACAAAACATTGAAATGTGTTGATATCATAAAGCCGAAGAGTAGGATGCTGAGTCCCCACAAGTATAAAGTCTCCAGATGGATGAAAAGAGATGGAGCGTAACATTTCAGCTTCCTGTTAGGACAGAGACATGAACATTAAATGACCAACTGTGAAACAATTATCTCCAGAGGAAATGTGGAAAATATTTGGCTGATGCGAAGAATCCAAAATATCAACAGATCAAGTAAGACACAGGTATGAGAAGGAACAAAGTATTTTAAGGCAACAAATGTCACTTCCAGCAAACACCTGAATAGTTTCAACTGAGTGATTTTTTATTCCCGTAAGTTATGCTCTAGTGAAGCTAGTTGTTTTGTTTTTAAACTGGGATCTGCAACCTTTAGAGTGAAACGGACTCTAAACCCTTGTTGCATGAACTGGACCAGCAGCAGTCCCGACCAGCCAGAGGACATGGGCGCATGACAGCATGCGAACCATGTGCCAGTGGAATCTGAGCTATATGCCACCTGTGGCATATGTTCTTGTTGCTGTACTCATTTTTAAATGTTTTTTATTTTTACTGACTTTTAGAGAAGGGAGAGGGATAGATAGAAACATCAATGAGAAAATCATCCATCAGCTGCCTCCTGCATGGCCCCTATTGGGGATTGAGCCCACAACCCGGGCATGTGTCCTGACAGGGAATCCAACCAGTGACCTCTTGGTTCATGGGTGGACACTCAACCACTAAGCCACAGTGGCCAGGCCCTACTCTTGTTTTATATATGATCACTGAGACTACTTCTAAAAGGAGAAGTCATATACCAGCTCACTGTATTTAAGAAAAATGTAAATCTTCCCAAACATTTCTAACCTGAATGTACTTGAAGGCTCTTTTTGCAGATGGTTTGGAATAATCGAATAACTTAAGAGTGTAATCCCTTGAACCAGAAGCCAGGATCTGTTCTGTTGGGTGGAAAGCGAGACATGTGACTTCATCCACATGGTCATAAAGAGTCCGGATCACTGGGTGGTTTTCCATATTCTGTTGTGCAGTCTCATTCATCATAACCTAGACCAACAAGAAAAGGAGATACACAAAGTGTAAAATGTCTGACTCACAGTATACACTCTGCAACTATGCTTAGTTAAAGCTGGTTTAAACTACTCTCTCATCCTCCCATGAAGGAACGAAAGGCAAACAGTAAGAGTGGTGCAGAGATTTACCTCTATTGGCATGGCACTTTTGGCTAACATTCTTTCCGTGTCGAGGATCTTTATGGAGGCATCAGCAGACCCAGTAGCTATTAGCTGTCCATCTCTACTATAGGTAGCTACTCGGCATGGTCCTTTATGGGATGTGACATAGCAGGTTTCATACTCTGAAGCCTCTGGGGACATGGTTTGGACATCTGCATCGAATTCCAGGTCAATTCCCGTGCCTGGGGCAACGGTATCTGAACGACCAATTGCATACTGAACAGCAGTATCATCATTTTCCATTCCTGAAAAAAAATAGAAATTAACGGCATGAAAATGTTATTTTTATTTTTTAAAATTTTATTTTTGTTTAAAATATTACAGATGTCCCTTTTCCTCCCCAATGACCTGTTCCACCCCGTCCCATCCCCCTCCCCAGTCCCTCTCCCCACCATTGTCGAAAATGTTATTTTTAAAGGCGAAGATAGTACTTGGCTGAGTAGCTCAGTTGGTTAGAGCATCATCCTGATATGCAAGGGCCAAGGTTGTGGGTTCAATCCCTAGTCAGGGCACACATAAGCATCAATCAATGAATGCATAAGCAAGTGAAACAAATGATGTTTCTCTCTCTCAAAAAAGGGACAAGATGAAGTTCGGGATCTAAACCAGGAAAGATGTTTGCCAATGTCAACTTCCTACTTCTTGGAGGTGCACGACACTTAATACTTTACAAAACTAGGCACACCGACCAGGGTGTATGCACAGTGACCACACTGTAAGCTAACATGGGTTGTAGAAGATTAGACTTCAATAAGTAGTCACCTCCGCTGATCTTTGCCTCCAAAGTGTTCTGCTAACTACAACTACAGAAACTCAGAAAAGCAGTTCTGTAGTTAAAATGTCCATTTTTCCCCATTCTGGGTTTTAATATTTTTAGTGCTGAGATCTGTGAGTACCAGCTCTGAAGCTCATTAAGTCAGATACATTGCCAAGATTAATACTAGTGAAACATATTTGAAAGAATGTTAATATTTAAATAAACTGGTTTATCAAGAATATGTGTTTTAAATTTAAAAACAGCTCTACACATCATATAAACGACTATTAGCATAGAAAAAATTAGAAATGCAGATGAACAAAAATAATAAAAATGACCCTATATCACCCAGAGATAATTACTGGTAACATGGTGGTATGAATTCTTCTGGACCTTTCTCCATGCAGTTATTTCACTTTTTAAAACAAAAATAGAACCACACCATATAACAAATTCTCACAACTGAAACTGCCAGGTCAAAGGGCATAAACATGTTTGGTAATTCTGTATTTCACTGTTTTCTATGACTCAGCCAAGCACCAGGATAAACTGTTGAACAAGAAAAGGTTGTGATCTTTAAGGAGCTTGCGGCTTTTTTGGGGGGAGGTAGATTGTGTGGGAAACAACCCCCCAAAATAAAGAAAATTTCACAGTACTTCTGTTATGAAGGAAATGAGACTGTATGTTAGAGAAAGTGGGGCGGTTTGGGGATGGTAATGGGGTTGTTTCAGGAGAGGTAACCAGGACTCTGGGATGACAATTTGAGCTGAGACTTGAAGAGAGTCAATAATGCAATGACAGAATGCTCCAGATAATTTGCATAAAGATCCTTAGGCTAGAGAACCAGTTCGAAGTCTTCATACCCTGGACTATGTGTACTCTTCCAGTATCTAGCACGGTACCTGACACATACTAGACACTAAAACTAAATGGAAATATCTTGAAAAATTTTGATGTGTGAGAACATCTGAAACCTTGTCATGGGATCAATGAATCTGCATTCACAGCTACCTAGTTTGATGAGGTGCAGGAGCTGCTCCGAGGGTGCACAAACAGACTGGGGCTTGATTTCATTGATGAGGCCATTAGCAATGCTGATGTAGCCGTCATAGAGCAGCTGGCTAATGATCAACTTGTAGAGCTGCTGGCGGTCCTTCAAGCCCACTTTGGTTCTGTACATCTTGAAGAAGAGGAAAAAAATTCTCTGCCAGCTGCAAAAAGAGAAAACAGGTGGTGGTGAAGGGGAGAGGCACTAGTAAATCACAGAAGCAACAGAGAAATTGGGTCAGACTCGCAGGGCTCAAATCCCAGCTCTCATATCTGCAGTATCTTTGGTCAGTGACTTGTTTGTCTGAGATCAGGTTCCTCAACTGTTAAATAAGTTAGTGAAGGTTGAATGCTTTGGGAATAGTCAAAGGCGAACTGCTTAATAAAACATAGGCAAATAATATATGGCTAAAACAATACAAAAAAAAAAAGGAAAAAAAAGGAAAAACCTGAAGGCTTGTGCACTTAGATTGATTTATCAGTGTCTAAGTTCTCCCTGTCTTAGAAAGTGAAACAGGAAATGGCAGGTGAAGGTTTCTGGTTTATGCAAATGACTTCAAATGGTGAACATAATCAGAAAACTTGATTATCTTTTTGTTGTCCTTGTTAATCCTCACTTGAGGATATTTTTTCCACTGCTTTTTCAGAGAGAGCAGAAGGGAGGGAGGGGGAGAGAGAGTGAAAAACCACCTTGTGAGACCCAGTGACTGGCTGCTTCCTGCACGTGCCCTGGCCAGGGACGGGAGCAAACCTGCAACTGAGGTATGAGCCCTTGATGGAATCAAACCTGTGACCCTTAGGTGTGGAGGCCGATGCTCTAACCACTGAGCCACAGAGGCCAGGGTGATAATTTAATTATCTAAAGTCAATGCCTGTATATTCGGGGACAACTGGATAGGTATCAGAAGGCTGGAGGAGCCTGGGGACAGCAATAAAGAATAAAAGTCATATCCAGACAGGTAGCTGTGGCAGAGAAGACAAATGGAAGGAGAGCATGGGAGGGAGATGAACATGAGAAAGGAGAGGAGTGAGTGAGCAGTAACACCAGTACCTCCTGGTATTGCTGTACTTTAGAGTGCTCTGGAAGAGTGTTATAGGAAAGGGGTGGAAAACAAGTTTTCTAACTACACAACTCCCTTTGAAGAATTACCGAGGCTACTGATCATAAGAACAGCTAACAACTACTGAGAGTTTACCAAGTTTTACCTCACTTAGTCCTCAACACCATCCTATAAAGGAGGTCCTGTAATCTTGTTTACAGCTGAGAAGGGAAAATAACTTGTCCAAGGCCTCCACCAACCAGGACTAGAATGCAGGTGGTCTGACTCTAGAGGCCAGGTTGCCCCTAACCACTTCATGTAGTGCACCTTAATAAACTAGCTAAAATTTACTGGACACTCAGTATAGTACATCACACACATCCCGTGTAGGCAACTGATGAGCATTACCTCATTCAATCCTCATGTAATCCTATTTAGGAGATGAGCAACCTGTGGCCCTGAGCGGTTAACTCACCCAGGATCACACAGCTTGTAACTGGAAGAGCTTGGATCCTAACCCAGGCTATGTGACCCAGAGCCTGAGTTCTTACTGAGCTGTACTGATGAGTGTTAATGACAACAGCCAACATTTATTAAGCACTCGCGAGACCCCATGCTGAGCACTTGGGTGAAAGTGGCCGCCAGGACTGTCCACACCAGGCCCCGCGGCTTAACCGCTACTCCATCCCGTCTCCTCACTCACGCCCGGAGCATCACGGGGTGCACGGGCAGATTAAAAAAAAAAGAGAAGACGGGGAAACAGAAGAGGAGGAGCCCTGCTTCTCAACTCCCACAGAACGCTGGCTCGCTGGGCTAGTGAGCGCCTAATTGCCATCCCAGCTTGCAGGGGAGGACGCCGAGGCCCGAAGAACTCAACCCAGGACTGGTTATGCCCGGAGCTGGAGGAGGGAGCAGTGCGAGAACGCAGACGGCCCCTCACGGTGCGCTCCGCTACCACCCTGGCAGAGAGGTGAACTAAGGATGGAGTGAGGGAGGGAGCGAGGCCTTTGGAGGGGGCCCCAGCCTGGGAACTCGGGGCGCACGCCTCCCCGCTCACCATCACCCCTTCCCGCCTCACCCCAGTCCTTCCCGCGGTCTCCTAAAGGCCCCAGCCCGACCGCACCAGCCACTCTCCACGCATCCCGGGCCCCCAGTACCCGCGAGTCCAGCTCTCCGGGTCTCCTGCTCTTCCAGAAAAATGGAGGCGCCAATTCTGCCCGATCGATCGCTCCGAGCACACACCCACTGCGCACGCGCCAAGGACGCCGCGCCGAGCGCTGCGCTATCGATCGCTGTGCCCTCTCCTGCCGGTCTGGCCATCTTACTTACTGGCACCTTCGAGAGGTTCGTTCACCTCCTCCGGCTTTATCTCTTATGCGGCAACCCTGACGCCAAGAGGCTTCTGTCTCACAGACAAAACTCACGTCCGGGAGAGCGGCGCGGGCGCTAGAACCGCCGCGGGGTCAGGAGGACCGTTGGCTCCCTCACTTCCGGGGCCTTCCGGGGCGAGCGCGCCTGCGTGCCGTGTCCGCCTTCCTTGGACGTGACTCAATCCGTCGCGTTGGCTGTGAACCAATGAAAAGGCAGCGCCTCTCCAGCCCCGGCCAATCAGCTTTCGGACTAAAGAGTTTAACTCCTATTTAAAATGACTCTTTGAATCTCAACGGCTCGGCTCTCCGGAGGACTCGGCGGCCTTGGGTCGGAGGCCAGAGCCACAGGTGCCCAGGCCTTGGGGCAGCGAGGGCGAGGGCGGGGAGCCTGGGTGGCCTTTGAGCGGGCGGCGGGGCCGGTGGGAGGGCAGCGGGCGGCGGGGCCGCAGGGCTCGGGAGGGAAGGGTCATGGCGAGAAGGCGTCCTTCTGCCCGTGACCTTCTCTGTCCTCCCCCTGGCGCCCTCCCCACTCTGTCCCCCTCCCCGTCGTCTGTCCCCCGCTTCCCGGGCGCCCTCCCGTCTGCTCCTGGGTACCAAGGCGCCCGGCCGCTTGGTGTGTGTGAAGCACCGGAGCGGACGGGCCTGTGGCGCCGGGGCGCTTTTCCGATGCGATTCTCGTTTTCGGTGAGCGCCTGGGTGAGAAAGCACCGAAGGGCTTGGCAGACGACGAACTAGCCGGATAACCTCCAGAAGTGATGAGTGTTACGAAAGAAATAAAACAGTAGCGCGTGTGGTTTCCCGCGGGAGTAGAATAGCCGGGAAAGGCCCTTGCCCTGGGAGGCTGGCTGGCTGGGTGGGTGAATAAACGATCACCGCCTCGGAGAGGCCTTCCTGGGCTAGTGCTTTTCAAGCCGCAGACGACCCGTGTCGGGATTCGGGGGGTCCTCGTTAAGCATACAGCCCCCCCCCCCCCCCCCCCCCCCCCCCCCCCCCCCCCCCCTCCCCCCCCCCCCCCC